ATTATGGGCTGTGTGTACACTGCCTCCACCTTATTATTGTTGTCTTCCTTGGTCTTTGCCTATTGACTATACGACTGCTTACACATATCCTAGTTTGTGTTGTAAAACTTTGAATACTTTAATTAATACATTGAAAAGACCATATACATTTTAAAGGAAACCTGTCACACAAGAAACATGGAAGCTGCCATTGCTAAACTCTCCTAAAAATGTTAATTGCCTGGCTGTTGTTTTGACACTTTGACTTACTTTCTGAGTACTTTCTGATGTGCTGACCTGGAACAAGTATGTAATCAGGAAAGTGCTTCAGATTCTTATTGGCATACTTGTTCTGGGTTGGTTACTCAAAGTATTGAAGCTGCATAGGGTAGGAAATGGAATGACATCCAGGCAACAATGAAATACCCAAAATATGTGCTTACTGATAATACTCTGTACTTAGTCTTTGAAGCGAACTTTATGTTTCCTGTGGACGTGTTTAATTGCTTTTATTGTATAATGTTCCAATGGCACTTGCTGGCAGCTTGTTCTGCACACATAGCCTTGTACCATTACTATTTAGGTCTCATTAAAATGCAGCAGCCTCTAAAATTCACTCAGTCCATGAATATGGACAATATGGCAGAAACCTTGCAATCTGATCACTTCCTTTTCGGAAGTGCCATTATGGAAGGCAGGCGGTGTGTAATGACTCGCCACCCAGCTTCTCGATAAGCAGGGAAGCCGTCTCCATGCTCCCTCATCACCAGGTGACGAGGAAGCATGGAGCCGGCTTTGTGGCCAATCAGGAAGCCGGATGGGTGGAAGGTAATGACTTTCCTCCTGGCTACCTGATTGGCCAGCTTCTCGGCCAATCAGGAAGCCAGGCGGCAAGTCATTACACGGCGCCCGGCTTTCCTAATTGGCCGGGCAGCTGGCTCCATTCCCCTCGTCACCAAGTGACGAGGGGTCATGAAGCCGGCTTTCTGGCCAATCAGGAAGCCAGGGGGTGTGTGATGACTCACCGTGTGGCTTCTTGACTGGCCAGCTTTCCGACCAACCAGGAAGCTAGACGGCGAGTCATGACACGCTGCTCAGCGTCCTGATTGGCCAGGAAGCCGGGCAGCATGTAATGACTCGCTGCCTGGCTTCCTGATACCGGAAGTTCAGGTATCGGGCTAGACATTGGAGCATTTGGGCGAGGACGAATACTCATCCAGATACTCGGTATCGGCACCAATACCGATACTAGTATCGGTGCATCCCTAGTGTATACGTAACATGTAAATAGCTTTATAAGATGATTGCATTTCTACTTATGATGGGAAAACTGAAGAGAGAAGCTGATTGGTTGCCAGTTTTGATAAATTCCCCTCACTACCGTGTTTCCCCGAAAATAAGACAATGTATTATATTTTTTTTGGCTCAAAAAAACACACTAGGTCTTATTTTCGGGGTAGGTCTTATTCTTTTTTTTTAATGTACAACAATCCACACTTATTCATGTACAACAGTCTGCTTGTATTCATGTACAAAAATATGGTGATCAGGGCAATCGGGTGCAGTACCTTTCCAAGAGCAATTTGCTAACCAATCGCTGGCCAGAATGAGCGAAGCGCGCTTTCACTATTGATTCCTCACAGGTGGAGTGCATTTGGTATCACTCCGCCTGTGACAGGAGGCGGCGCTATAGAGGAGGCATCGACTTATGCGGCTCTGCTCCCTCCGCTGCCGCCTCGCTTCCTCTAGCGCTGGCTTAGTTGGCACCGCTGATTCTCTCCTGCCTCTCCCGCGGCTCTTCAAGTTCCCCCCTCATGCCACCGCCGGCCCTGGGAATGGTCACAACTAGGTCTTATTTTCGGGGTAGGTCTTATATTTTAGCAATTCCCAAAAATAGTACTAGGTCTTATTTTCGGGGAAACAGGGTATATCCAATAAATGAACTGAACAAAGCTGTCTCTGCCTCTGCCGACTGTAGCCAAGTGCCTAATGGTAAATCCGGCCCTGATGATAAAGATAGACAGATTTTTTTAAACATGGTAAACTTTGTACCTGTAGCATGAATGGCTTGTGTTCAAACTCCACTACTAAAATCTCATATAAGCTTTAAAGTACTGTAGATGTAATTTCTTCTAGTTTTGGATATATTGGTGAAGGGTTAGACCCCCTGACAGGTTTTTATTGCTGTCTGTATCCCTCATTGAGAATCATCATCCCTCTATCCTTTTGACCATTTTCACTGAGACATATAGTGACTGAAAATCCAAAATATTACAGTTGTCACCAGAACAAAAAGCGATGGAAAAATCCTCCATTTGTGACATAAGCTCCTATGACAACTCTCTATATTGTTAATTCTATTTAGCTTAAAGAGATTTACTCTCATTTCCTGTTGTGTCTCCAGAGCAGGATGTTATGGGAAGTCTCCCCAGCAGGCTATAGACAGAAAAAAATAACCCGACAGGTATTTTAACTAGGGATGCGATTTTTCAGTATCAAGTACCGATATTTTGCTTTCAGTACTCGCCGATACCGAGTACCAATACCAGTGCTTCCGCTGGCATGGAGCTGGCTTCTCGAGTAATCAGGAAGCTGGGTGGCGGGTAATGACATGCTGCCTGGCTTCCTGATTGCCCGGGATGCCAGCTCCATGTTGTTTGGCTGGCTCATTTGTGATTGGCTGGGAATCCGTCTTCCCAGCCATTTAGCATCGAGCCTGCTTCCCAGTCCGCCTCCCGGCTTCCTGATTGCCCGTTAAGCCGATTCAATGTTCCCCTACGGCACTGCCAGTCAGAGGGAATCTACCTCTGACCGGAGGTTCCAGTATATGGGAAGATATCGGAGCATTTGGGCAGTTACGAGTACTCGCCCAGATACTTGGTATCGGCACTGATACTAGTATCCGTGAATCCCTAATTTAAACAGTTCCCTACGCTATCCTAAAAAAGAAACGTTTTGGCTTTCAATACACCCTGCACGTTCCGGTACACCACACATGTATGGTGTGAACAAAGCACAACAACAGTTGTTTTCTATGTGTACCATGCTTGTGTGGTTGGGTGCAAAAGAACAGAACTCAGTGGACATGGTGTGAGCAAGCCTTGAATGTAATCTCAGAAGTCATTTTTAAAGGCCTGTTCACACCATAGTGTTGTGTTAATCGCACCTAGAGTACTTTATTGTGTGCTATGTGTGTTGAATGGCACCCCAACGCACCTCCGGCCACCATTCGTGTGTATTTATAAACAATTCATAGAGCATTTACCATGAAAATCCCTGTGTACATTTGTTCAGTGCAAAAACAAACATTCTCAGTATATTTTCTTTTCAGGTCAAATGTGATGCAATACAGCATTTTGGCCACTGGATGGAGCTGATGAGCATAGACAATACTTATTCCCATTGTTCCTCTGCGTCATCTAGTGGCCACAATGTTGTTTTACATAACATTTGATCTCGAATTTCTACTAAGAACATTCCCTTTGGCCTGTATTTGCACAGAACGAATGTTCACCGAGATTCTGAGGGAGAACATGTAACAAATATAAAGTAAGCATTACTCCAATTTGGCTTCAAAATGGGAAATGCACTTTAAGACAAGGGTGGGCAAACTCCAGCCGTCCAACTGTTGCAGAACTACAAATCCCATGAGGGATTGCAAGATTCTCAGCCACAGGCATACTCCAAGAGGAAGATACATGATGGGATTTGCAGTTTCACCACAGCTGGTGGGCCGGAGTTTGCCTATCCCTGCTTTAAAGTTCTTAGAGAGGAGTGGAGAGTGTGGTTTGGGTGATCGGTTCTCTTTCTACTGTGAACTAATGACTATAGGCTCCATCCACAAAGATAAAACACAAGATAAGGATCACTAAGGGGTCCAGTCACAAAGCTGCCGAAGGATCCAGCCGTAGCTTTGGCTGATCCTTCGGCTAGCTTCAGTTGCAAGAGCCCTTCGGTTTAGTCGAACTGAAGGGCTGCTGTACGGGCTATTCACCGTACAGCACCCGAAGGCGGCCGAGCCGAAGGCATTTGCTTTGGCTCAACTGAGCCAAAGTGTCAGCCGAAGGCGGGTCTTTCGCTCCGCAAATGACAGCTGGGCGAGGCCAGCCGTGATCTCACGGCTGGCTCAGCCCAGTTGTAATGACAGATCAGCGTCCCCAAATGACCTAGGGGATGCTGAACTGTCATTAAACAATAACAACGTGACGTCACGGCCGGCTCCGCCCAGTTGTTATTCATTGGCCGGCACCTGCTAGAAGACTCTAGCAGGTGCCGGCCAATTGGAAACAGTTGGGTGGAGACAGCTGGCACTGCTAGCTCCGCCCAATTGTTTTCTTTTTCCTTTAAAAAAATCTTTATTTTTTTAATTTTTCAATGTATTCACATTTTAAAATTATTTTTTTCAAATTTTTAAAAACTATTTTCATTGATTTGCTATTCTGCTCGGTACCATGGAGGTATGGAGCAGAATAGCCGAGCCGAATGCTGCTCGACGGCATTTGGCTATTCACTCACTGTGTGAATAGAGGCGAACAGCACCAAGTGAGCTGCCGCAGCTTCGGCTCAGCCGATCCAGATGTTCGATTGGCTGAGTCGAAGTCCTTCTGCACTGGAAGTGCAGCCAATGTACGGCTGTTTCCAGCCGTACTGAGCTGTAGTGAATAGCTGAACGTTGTTCGGCTCACTTCACTACGGCTCGGTTATTCACTCAGCTGCCTTCGGCAGCTTTGTGAGCAACCCCCTTCATTTTTGAAAATGTGAGTTATTTGCAACCTACTCCAATGAGATTTGAAAATGACAGTCACATGACTGAACATACAGCTAGTTTGTGAGTTGAGCCCTATGTGATTGATGAGACCAGTGGCAGAGGTGACGTCATACAGGTAAAGCCATTCCAGTGTGTCTCCAGGAGACGGTGAGGTGACACAAGCAGCTCCTCCTTGCAGTACCCGACTTCAGCCAGCAGGTGACACTGTCACACAGCTGTGGCACATATGCTCCGCACCCCTCCCCAGCCACAGTGAGGGAATGTGATGCAGACTCCGTGTCAGCACTGTGGGCCAGGCTTCCTATTCATACCGAAGCTGTCAAACCAGTCCCCTGTGCCCCAATATACCGCGCTTCCTCCCCTCGCCCCCCCACCTTCCAAACACGGCGACCGGGGATAGCTAGCCCGAACGCTGCCATTGCTCTGCAATGCGAGTCTCCGCCAGCAGGAAGGAGCGTGCACTGCTCGAGGCCGGCTTTATCTAGCTGCCGTTGCGGGATGGGGTGCGCGGATCTCCCGGGGCTCTGCTCGCCGTGTGTCCTTTGAGCCGTCCGTGCACGGTGTAGGCCCGTGTGTCGCCCGGAGAGGACGGGGGAGAGAGAGCGCTTCCCATTGATCGAGCGAGGTAGGTGCATCAATCTTCATACACCATGCACGTAGACTGCTGCGTCTCCGCCGTATATACCTATTGTACAGGGGCACCCCCTCCCCCTGTGTACATACACATCATCATCCTCCTGTGGATGTAAACACCATCACTGGCAGCACAAGATGTCTAACACGACAAGATCGCCGTGATCATCATCATCATTGCTGTAAACATGATGCAGCACGGATGTCACAAGAGCTGCTGGGCTGACATTTACTTGTGATGATTCACATAGATCTGACATTCACTTGTGTTACACACTGATCTGACTTTCACTTGTGCTGATTCACATAAATCTGACATTTGCATGTGATGCACATAGCGCCAACATTCACATGTGATACACATAGATTTGACATTCACATGTGATGCACATAGCTCTGACAAGTGTCTTCATGTGTGCCAGGATGGCAGGGGATTGTCACATCTGACACAATTGTTGTCATCCTAGCAGCAGCTTTGCAGGAATCTCTATACATGGGTATGTGAGTGCCTGTCATTCCCTATGGATGATGCCTGCTAGCAGCAAGCAACAGATGTGCAGGTCTGACATGTTCTACTAAACACTGGAGGAAAACATCATGCAAATATCTACATCTCACCAGTGGATGCTCGTATCTAGATCAGCCTTTCTCAACGTTTTTACCCTGAAGGAAGCCTTGAAATCATTTCGGGGCTACCGGAGTTCCTGCTGAAGAAAAATAAATAAATCATCTTACGTTGGTGGTCAGTCAGTGCAAACAATACTCCCCTTACATCAGTTGTCAGTGTGAAGAATGCCCCCTTGCAGTGGTGGTCAGTTTGAAAAATGCCCCCCCTTACATTGCTGGTTAGTGAGAAGAATGCCCCTCCTATACTTTGGTGGTCAGTGGGAAGAATGCCCCCCCTTACATTGGTGGTCAGTTGGAAGAATGCTCCCCATACATTGGCGGTCAGTGGGCAGAATGCCTCCTATACTTTGGTGGTCACAGTGGGAAAAATTTCTCCTTTACATTGGCGGCCAGTGGGAAGAATGCCATGCTTACATTGGTGGATAGTGGGAAGAATTCCTCCTTTACATTGGTGGCCAGTGGGAAGAATGCCACGCTTACATTGGTGGTCAGTGGGAAGAATGCCCCTCCTTACATTGGTGGTCTGTGGCAAAGAATGCCCCTCCTTACATTGGTGGCCAGTGGGAAGAATGCCATGCTTACATTGCTGGCCGGTGGGAAGAATGCCCCTCCTTACATTGGTGGCCGGTGGGAAGAATGCCCCTCCTTACATTGGTGGTCGGTGGCAAAGAATGCCCCTCCTTACATTGGTGGCCGGTGGGAAGAATGCCCCTCCTTACATTGGGGGCCGGTGGGAAGAATGCCCCTCCTTACATTGGTGGTCGGTGGCAAAGAATGCCCCTCCTTACATTGGTGGCCGGTGGGAAGAATGCCCCTCCTTACATTGGTGGTCAGTGAGAAGAATGTCCCCCATACATTGGTGGTTAATGCAGAATTCTCCCCTTACAGTGCTGATCAGAGAATGCTTCCCCTATGTTGGTGGTCAGTTGGAAGAATGCCCCTCCTATACTTTGGTGGTCAGTGGGAAGAATGCCCCCCTTACATTGGTGGTCAGTGGGAAGAATGCCCCCCTTACATTGGTGGTCAGTGGGAAGAAGCCCTACTATACTTTGGTGGTCATTGGGAAAAATGCCTCCTTTACATTGGCGGACAGTGGGAAGAATGCCACGCTTACATTGGTGGTCAGTGGGAAGAATGCCTCCTTTACATTGGCGGCCAGTGGGAAGAATGCCCCCTTTATATTGGTGGTCAGTGGGAAGAATGCCCCCTTTATATTGGTGGTCAGTGAGAAGAATGTCCCTCCTTACATTGGTGGTCAGTGCGAAGAATGCCCCTCCTTACATTGGTGGTCAGTGGGAAGAATGCCCCTCCTTACATTGGTGGTCGGTGGGAAGAATGCCTCCTAAAAAGACTATTGGTGTCATGCTGTTAGCTCTTCTAAGTGGTGTTGGCCCCAGAACTAGGCAAGCACCATCAGATGCCCCCCCTTACATTGCTGGTCAGCGAGAAGAATGCCCTCCTTACATTGGTGGTCAATGCAGGATTCTCCCCTTACAGTGCTGGTCAGAGCAGAGAATGCTTCCCCTATGTTGGTGGTCAGTGGGAAGAATGCCCCTCCTTGCATTGGTGGTCAGTTGGAAGAATGCTCCCCATACATTGGTGGTCAGTGGAAAGAATGCTCCCCATACATTGGTGGTCAGTGGAAAGAATGCATCCTATACTTTGGTGGTCAGTGGGAAGAATGCCCCCCTTACATTGGTAGTCAGTGGGAAGAACGCCTCCTATACATTGGTGGTCAGTGGGACGAATGCCCCCCTTACATTGGTGGTCGGTGGGAAGCATGCCCCTCCTTACATTGGTGGTCAGTGTGAAGAATGCCCCTCCTTGCATTGGTGGCCGGTGGGAAGACTTCCCCTGCTTGCATTGGTGGTCGGTGGGAAGACTGCCCCTCCTTGCATTGGTGGTCGGTGGGAAGACTGCCCCTCCTTGTTTTGGTGGTCGGTGGGAAGACTGCCCCTCCTTGCATTGGTGGTCTGTGGGAAGAATGCCCCTCCTTACATTGTTGGCCAGTGGGAAGAATGCCCCTTCTTACATTGGTGGCCGGTGGGAAGAATGCCCCTCCTTACATTGGTGGCCGGTGGGAAGAATGCCCCTCCTTACATTGGTGGCCGGTGGGAAGAATGCCCCTCCTTACATTGGTGGCCGGTGGGAAGAATGCCCCTCCTTACATTGGTGGCCGGTGGGAAGAATGCCCCTCCTTACATTGGTGGCCGGTGGGAAGAATGCCCCTCCTTACATTGGTGGCCGGTGGGAAGAATGCCCCTCCTTACATTGGTGGCCGGTGGGAAGAATGCCCCTCCTTACATTGGTGGCCGGTGGGAAGAATGCCCCTCCTTACATTGGTGGCCGGTGGGAAGAATGCCCCTCCTTACATTGGTGGCCGGTGGGAAGAATGCCCCTCCTTACATTGGTGGCCGGTGGGAAGAATGCCCCTCCTTACATTGGTGGCCGGTGGGAAGAATGCCCCTCCTTACATTGGTGGCCGGTGGGAAGAATGCCCCTCCTTACATTGGTGGCCGGTGGGAAGAATGCCCCTCCTTACATTGGTGGCCGGTGGGAAGAATGCCCCTCCTTACATTGGTGGCCGGTGGGAAGAATGCCCCTCCTTACATTGGTGGCCGGTGGGAAGAATGCCCCTCCTTACATTGGTGGCCGGTGGGAAGAATGCCCCTCCTTACATTGGTGGCCGGTGGGAAGAATGCCCCTCCTTACATTGGTGGCCGGTGGGAAGAATGCCCCTCCTTACATTGGTGGCCGGTGGGAAGAATGCCCCTCCTTACATTGGTGGCCGGTGGGAAGAATGCCCCTCCTTACATTGGTGGGCGTGGTGGGAAGAATGCCCGTCCTTGCATTGGTGGGCGTGGTGCGAAGAATGCCCGTCCTTGCATTGGTGGCCGTGGTGGGAAGAATGCCCCTCCTTACATTGGTGGCCGGTGGGAAGAATGCCCCTCCTTACATTGGTGGCCGGTGGGAAGAATGCCCCTCCTTGCATTGGTGGCCGGTGGGAAGAATGCCCCTCCTTACATTGGCGGTCGGTGTGAAGAATTCCTCCTAAAAAGACCATTGGTGTCACGCTGTTCGCTCTTCTGGTGTTGGCCCCAGAACTAGGCAGGCACCATCAGATGTGAGGTCACAGCTCAAGGAAACCTTAGAAACATCTGGAGGAACCCTGGTTGAGAATGGCTGATGTAGAGTGGTTAGAAATGGCAGCCTTTAAATGCCTAATCCATCCGGCTTCCTCAGCATGTTGTGTAGATGAATGCAGATACAACATTACTGGTGATTTTCCTAACAAATCCTTTACCTCGGTCATTTGCTTAGCTGGCATTTACATCTGGTGGAGGCTTTCATTTGTGGCCGTATTTCAGATTCTATGCTTTCATGGTTTAGCTTGTGTCTATGGAAATTTGAAGGACTCCCAGGAAGTGCACACATGTTGCAGCCAAGTAGATAAGAAATGTAGGATTAGAGATGTGGCCCGGGATTCCTCAGCTGTTGTAGTGTGGACAGGGTATCAATCTTCTACCTCTATTGAAGTCACAAGGAGATTGGGAAAGCTTCTTCGTACAGCAGCAGTCCAATAGGTCATTACATTCCCTTTTCTTTTCCAGTTTGGCACATACTCTAACGAAGATTAGATACAAGCCTAATGTGTCTGTAAATACTTTTGTGTAACCAGGAGAGATGTGTCATGAACCTGCATGGTTTCATATAGTGCAGGCAGGTAAGGGTTGTCTTGGACGGGACAATAACACGTCTTGCTGTAACATCTAGTTTATTTATTCCAGTATATGCAGAGCTTTACATAGTGTACATTCATTTCAGTCCCTGCCCTGCCTTCAAGGAGCTCACAGCCTAAGGTCTGGTTACTCAACCAGCGTGGAGTGTGAGGGCAAACCCATGAAAGCACAGGGAGAACATGCAGATAGTGTCCTGGTTGGGATTGGAACTGAGGACCCCAGTGCTGCAAGGCAGGCGTACTAACCACTAAACCCCTTTTCTAAACAGATACAATGAGGGGAATTTATCAAAACTGGAGCGGACAAATACTGAAGCAGCTGTGCATGGCAACCAATCATCTTTTCTCTTTCATTTTCAAATCTTAACTGAACAAACAGCAGAGAGAAGCTGATTGGTTGCCCTGGGCAACTGCTCCAGGTTTTGTCTGCTCCAGTTTTGATAAATTCCCCTCACTGTTTTGTCCACCTATGATTCTTGCTGTTGAAATGCTTTGGGCAGCCAGTTCTGTTTTGGATGACAGAGATCGTTTACTTTCCATAAGCTACAACTGCTGATTTCCTATATTCATTTTGGATTTGTACAGCCTACTTATATGGGAGCAGTTATATGACGGTTTATAAAGCT